GAGGTGCCCACTGTGACCCCGGGCTGGGGCTTCCCAGCCTTTAGATTTGCGAAAATAAGTTCATGTTGTTTAGACGCCACCCAGTGTAAGGTGCTTTGTTATAGAAGCCTTAAGGGACAACGTCAGTGTCTGCTTACTGATGTTCTGCCCGGCTCGTCTCCGTTAGCTCATCTCCATTGGCTCGTCTCTGTTAGTCGTCTCCGTTAGCTCGTCTCCGTTAGCTCGTCTGCATTAGCTCATCTCCGTTAGCTCGTCTCCATTGGATCATCTCCATTAGCTCATTTCCGTTAGCTCGTCTCCGTTAGCTCATCTCCGTGAGCTCGCCTCCGTTAGCTCGTCTCCATTAGCTCGTCTCCGTTAGTCGTCTCCATGAGCTCGTCTCCATGAGCTCGTCTCCGTTAGCTCATCTCCGTGAGCTTGTCTCCATTAGCTCGCCTCCGTTAGCTCGTCTCCGTTGGCTCGTCTCCATTGGATCATCTCCATTGGATCGTCTCTGTTAGCTCGTCTCCGTGAGCTCGCCTCCTGAAGTAGCATATTGAAGTGCCCTCCTGTTGCTGTATTGCGGTCTCTCCCATTCAGGCCTCTGGTGCCTAAGTGGTTCTAACTGTACAGCCTCTCGATGAATTGACTTCCCTGTCACTATAGTAATCCTTGTCTCTTCTCACCATTTTTGACTTACAGTGTATTTTATCTGGTACAAGCATTTTGATTTGCATGGACTATCCATTTCTTTGCTTTCTATAGATGTGTGTTATGAAGGCTGAAGTCTCTCGTACACAGCATATAATTCGACCCTGGGTTGGTTTTTTCTCTGAGTTCGTTCAGCTGGTCTGTGTCTTTTAACTAGAGAATTTAATCCATTACATGTAAGGTAGCTGTTGGCAGATAAAGGCTTAGCACTGCCGTTTTGCTAGTTGTTTTCTGTTTTTAAGGCTCCTCTCCTCCTGTCTCGCCGTCTTCCTTGTCCTCTCCGTGCCGTGCGTGATGTCTTGCTGCCTGCACCTTCTAGCCTGTGTGTGCACAGTCAGAGAGGCACCGGCAGCCCTAAAGCAGCGCCGAGTCCCTGGGCCCAGCCAGACTTGCGCTGGGAAAGTGCTGTCTGTGTCTGTCCCTGGGACGCTGGCCTTAGATCTGAGCCCACGGCGCCCTGACGGGGGCAGCCAGTGCGTGGTCGGAGCAGGGAGGTGACGCTGCGGGAGACGCGTGGGCAAGGAGGGGGTGGAGAGCGGGCTGCGCGGGGCCGGGTGCAGGCTCACATCCCAGCCTCGCCTGGCCCTCCGTCCTCTGAGCTGTGGGCCCAGTGGAAGGACTGCCGTGGCTGCAACGTCATGTGGCTGCTGGACTCATGTCGCATCTTAAATCCCGTCATCAGTTCATGGTAAAGAGGATGGAAACCTCATTCGGTTCTGGTGTCCAGAGGCTGGACCTCATGGGCGGTCCTTGGGTCACTGGGGGCGTGTCCTCAGAAGGTGGGCGGTCCTTGGGTCACTGGGGGCGTGTCCTTAGAGGGTGGGCGGTCCTTGGGTCACTGGGGGCGTGTCCTTAGAGGGTGGGCAGCCCTTGGGTCACTGGGGGTGTGTCCTCAGAAGGTAGGCGGTCCTTAGGTCACTGGGGGTGTGTCCTCAGAAGGTGGGCGGTCCTTGGGTCACCGGGGGCGTGTCCTTAGAGGGTGGGCGGTTCTTGGGTCACGGGGGCATGTCCTCAGAAGGTGGGCGGCCCTTGGGTCACGGGGGCGTGTCCTCAGAAGGGGTTCTGGAGAGAGGGCTGTCGTGAGACCTGAGTTGGACCCAGCCTTCCTACTTCCTGGCCCACCATGCGATTCTTCCTCCGCACACACTTGGCCTCTGATTCCCGCCGTCCTCACAGAGGCCACACCACGTCCAGCTGGCTTGGACTTGGACCCCCAACATCTTGGACTTGGACCCAACATCGTGAGCTACGCACCTCTTTCCTATTTATAACTCAGTCTCCTCGGTTGTGCCGTTGTAGTCACAAAAAGCTAACAGGGAACACTGGTGCCAGGCACTGGGGCCGTTACCATCACCGCTGGAGGTGAGGAGCCCTGGGCGCAGCAGGTGAGGCAGGGGGAGCTCGGGGCGCAGCAGGTGAGGCAGGGGGAGCCTGGGGCGCAGCAGGTGAGGCAGGGGGAGTCTGGGCGCAGCAGGTGAGGCAGGGGGAGCTCGGGGCGCAGCAGGTGAGGCAGGGGGAGCCTGGGGTGCAGCAGGTGAGGCAGGGGGAGCCCGGGGCACAGCAGGTGAGGCAGGGGGAGTCTGGGCGCAGCAGGTGAGGCAGGGGGAGCTCGGGGCGCAGCAGGTGAGGCAGGGGGAGCCTGGGGTGCAGCAGGTGAGGCAGGGGGAGCCCGGGGCACAGCAGGTGAGGCAGGGGGAGTCTGGGCGCAGCAGGTGAGGCAGGGGGAGCCTGGGGCGCAGCAGGTGAGGCAGGGGGAGTCTGGGCGCAGCAGGTGAGGCAGGGGGAGCTCGGGGCGCAGCAGGTGAGGCAGGGGGAGCTCCGGGCACAGCAGGTGAGGCAGGGGGAGACTGGGGCGCAGTAGGTGAGGCAGGAGGAGCCCGGGGCACAGCAGGTGAGGCAGGGGAGCCTGGGGTGCAGCAGGTGAGGCAGGGGGAGCCCGGGGCACAGCAGGTGAGGCAGGGGGAGCCTGGGGTGCAGCAGGTGAGGCAGGGGGAGTCTGGGTGCAGCAGGTGAGGCAGGGGGAGCCTGGGGCACAGCAGGTGAGGCAGGGGGAGTCTGGGTGTAGCAGGTGAGGCAGGGGGCCCGGGCGCAGAAGGGGAACCCACAGGACCAGCTGCTGGGCGGGTGTGGGCCGAGGGCTGCACTGCTGGGGCGCAGGGCAGTAGTGGGTCTGCTGGGGACTGCGCCGGCGGCCAACCTGTCAGTGTGGCCAGGAGCCCGGGTGCACCGTGCGGCCCCCCAACCCCCGAGGCTGTGAGGGGGCTGGACTTAGAGGCTCTGCGTTAGTTTATGTGGTCGAGGGGGTTTCAAGACAGCACGGTGTCCAGGCTGTGACATGGACGTGGGTGCTGGTGGCCACCTTGGGTCAGTTTCACCCTCAGAATCAGAAAGGAGCAGAATGAGAATATTTGACAAATTTGCAGCTTGTTCAGGGAGCGAGCGAAGGAAACGTGAGTTTGGGACAGGACAGTGAGGGAGATGTGAGGGAGACGAACTAAAGCTCACTAAAGAGGCTCGCTCAGGGCCACTGCGTGCGGCACGGGCGCCCCATCCGAGCGCCAGTTCGAGTCCCGGCTGCTCCGCTTCTGCTCCAGCTCCCTGCTGATGTCATCGGAAGACGGCCCGAATGCCTGGGCCCTGCACCCGCGTGGGAGACCCTGATGGAGTTCTGGGTTCTCCGTGTCCATGCGCGGAGCCCCTGCGGGGTGAGGCAGAGTGGAATTGTGGGAGAGAAGTGATGTGGAGGCTTCAGGAGGGCAGGGCCGGCAGCCGCGAGCCAGGCCGGCCCTGGGACGCCTCGGGCCCCTGCTGCAGCCCAGAGAGGCTCGGGCGGGGCTGTCCCACTGTGTTCCCAGGACGCTGGTGCAGGCTTCAGCGTCTGCCCTGCCGGGTTTCGGTCCTGATTTAGGCCGAGTATTCCTCCTTTCTGTGTCCCTGTGCACGCCCCACGCCCGCTCGGCTGGAACCTGGGCTTTTCCAGGCTCAAAGCTGGGGTTCGCTGTTTCAGGGGAGACCTTAGGCTTCGAATTAGTGCAGAGCTGAGCTAAGACTCTCGGACCACAGAGGATGGCATGACCGTGTGTGATGAAATCATGAATTTCTGGGACCGGGGGAGGACTGCTATGTTGAACTCCTGTTGGACTTCAACCCCAAAGTCTTACTTAGTGGGACGAAGGAGGCAGACGTGTCGTCCAAGTGTGGCAGGGCCTCTCGGGGGCTGATCGGGTTCAGGTACAGCGTTAGCCTTGGGCACCTTCCTGCGGACTGTGCAGGAAAACTGACCGAGACCAGCACACAGACCCCCGTGCGCTGTCCGCTGTGCCCGTGTCACGCCCTGTGCCACCAGGACTCTGCCAGGGAGGAAGCTGTCGCCAGACGGGGTCCCCGGGCCTTGCACCTCCAGAACCAGGAGCCAGCATCGGCCTGAGCCTGCGTAGAGCGCGCCTGCCGCAGGGGTCTCCTCGCGTGAGAGACTTGAGCTGTGTGGGAGCAGCGCCCCCGCGTCTGCCCAGGCTGACGTCACCGCGGGCCGGGCGGAGAAACTCGGTCCTCACACGGCAAGAGTGGGCGTGGGCCGGCCGAGCTCACCCTGGCAGTCAGGTGGGGGGACGGGGGTGTGTGCCATGTTACACGTGTGTATGTGTGAGCTGTACATGGTCCATGTGCTGCGTGTGGAACACGTGTATGGCATGTGGTGTGCTCATGAGTGGTGTGAGTTGTACATGGTCTGTGTGTATTGTTTGCCTTGTCCATGTACTTGTGTGGCATATGTGTTGTGTATGGTTGTGGTGAGCTACATGTGTGGTGTGAGCTGTGTGTGGTCCACGTGCTGCATGTGGAACACGTGTTTGGCACATGTGCTCATGAGTGGTGGGAGTTGTGTGTGGTCCGTGTGCTATGTGTGGAACACATGTTTGGCACGTGGTGTGCTCATGAGTGGTGTGAGTTGTGTGTGGTCTACGTAATGCATGTGGAACGTGTATAGTATGTGGTGTGCTCATGAGTGGTGTGAGTTGTGAGTGGTCCGTGTGCTGCGTGTGGAACACGTGTTTGGCACATGGTGTAAGCTGTGAGTGAGTGCACACGCAGAAGCTGTGTGGTGTGGGCATCCGTATGGCGGCCACCGTGGGCAGTGACCCGACCTCATTTCCCCACGCTCTCTGCCCCCAGCTGCTCTGGGGCAGAGCAGGCCACATTAACCTGGGTGTCCAGGACGTCCCCCAGCCTGTGGAAGCTGGCCCCTCCCTGGGGTCTCCCCTCCCGCGGCCACAGTTGTGTGATGATAACCCTTCCGCTCTTGTTCACTGCAGCCCCGACCCCTAAGAGGCAAAAATGCGACCACTGGACGCCGTGTCCCCCCGACACCTACGCCTACCGGTTGCTCAGCGGGGGCGGCAGAGACAAGTACGCCAAGATCTGCTTTGAGGACGAGCTGTGAGTACCGCTGTGCCGCCAGAGGCCCCGGCCGTCTGCGGGCGCTCCCTCCTGGGGGCTGAGCCAGCAGGACCCCCGGCCCTGGAAGAGAGCCTCCCCGCCCTGACCCCAGCCCGAGGGGCCCGGACAGCCGCCCCGGCTGTGGAGGGTTCTGGGTCCCGTGCCGACCCGCTGGGCAGGTTCGTGTGACAGCAGTTAGAACACACCGCGGCTCACGTTCTGTGCTTTGCCCCACGTGTGAGGCCGGGCCCTCCGGGGTCCTGGGGACGCCCGCGCTCGGTTCACGGTGCTCTGCGGTTTCCTTTGGCGACCCCGATCAGAGCAGGTGCAGTTTCTCTCTGCGGAGGCGTTGGTGACTATGCCGGCCTCTTCAGTGTTCTGTGAACGTGTGTGTGCCGTGGGGTTGCGTCCTCTCTGCGTGTGTGCTGCAGGCCCTGGAGGCGTCCTTGGGGAGTTTTTTTTTTTTTTTTTTT